AGGTTTAGAGTCAGGTATGTACCTGTGAGCTTAGGTTTAGAGTCAGGTATGTACCTGTGAGCTTAGGTTTAGGATCAGGTATGTACCTGTGATGATATGTTTAGTGTAAAGGGTCAGGGTTAGGCTATGGGAATTACCAGTAAATGCAGGTATGTAATTTGCAGGGGTTGGGGGTGTTATGACCCCCACAATAATTTGATCCAGTCCTCCCAATAAAATGACATTGTTTCCTCAAACACAATAGAAATTAACTGGTTAAGCACACAGCTGCAACTCTTTTGYTGTCTTTATGTAACTTTGACCTGATATCAAATTTATGATGTCGTATAAGTATGTTTAAACATAACTGCTAAAAAATAATACACAGGGTTTTAGTAATGGCTGTATTTGTTGAATCATGAATTGTATTTTTTCCTAACAAAATTGTAGTGTACTAGATAAACACATGCTCCAGGAAATTGAGAAATTTAGGTATGTCTTATAATACAGTCTTAAACCATAAAATATTTTGTTACTATTGGAAAAAATGTGGTGGTGGTGGTGGTGGTGGTGTGTGTGGGGGGGTCTTTTCTTAAGAGTAACTCCAAAGAAAACAGGAAAGTTATGTAAATCACACCAGTAAAAGCATTAAAATGCACTTTAACCTCAAAATATACTGCATCATTTTACAAAAATGAATAATTCAGTAAATAAATAAATAAAAAGGCAGAGAGCATAAGCCCCCCCAGTGGTAGACCTAAAGTTACACCCTTGGGTAAATGAATGGAATTCAAAGCAAAGTCCCCATGAGGATAGAAGAACAAACGTGCGCGTGCGTGCGTGTGTAACGGTATTACTCAACACGGACTGACTGTCCTATGTGAGCAAGGTCGGGCTGTCATGTTCTTCCTGTGGTCTCGGTCTCTCGGTCCGCATGTTTCTTGCACGCTGACATACCCGCTCAGCTGTTTAAAAGGACAGAACATACAGTTTACTAAAAAAAAATCTTGGAACCACAGCTCACTGTCGAGTCATCTCAAGGCACGCAGTGAGCTAAAACCAGACCAGAAGCTGTGGGAGATCACTTTTCAAAATAAAATATTGCTGTTGCATTGATGTGTGTTCAAAACGTGTATGTTGCAAAATTATTCTTTTTATCTTGAATTCTTTGCACTCTTTGAAATATTTTTTTAATTAATACACAACACAAAAAAATGGCAAAATGTTTTTGCTACAGATTCTCTACAAAACAATTAAAGGCCTAGCTTTACAAAAGGATTTTCATGCAGAAGTATTTGATAAAAATCATTGTAGGTTGATAAATAGAATTAGTCTTACATATGCTTATGTTTGTGATTATTCAGTCTTTGTGAGATTGCCTCTCCCCTCATTGTTAATGACTCTCAGCTCCTACTGCACTAAACTTCAAATCTCAAACACTTGTAAAAATTGTCCATCTAACCAACTATTTCAATCCAGGAAAAAAAAAACATTTTTGATCTTGTTTTGAGAATGGGTTTATTTTTAATGTTAAGCTGGAAATTTTCCTTATTTCCAGAAGTCTTACCAAGCGCAAGTATTACCACACTGGCAGATTACAGAATCAATTACAGTAGCTACATCTGAGAGGAATTTTTGCTGAAGACAGTTACCTGTCAAGATCATCTTGAATCTGGCCGAATCTGATCTACAGGCAGGAAAGTCTTTTTAACATGTCAGTATGTCAGTAAATGGATTGATTGATAACTTCTTGAAACTTGATGGTGGCATAAATGTAAATTTTTGCTGCACAAACGTTTGACACCAGTTTTGTTCGATTTGGGTAATGTGTGAGGGCTGGCTGACCTTTCACCTTTGAACTTTCATTAACATTTTCAAAACACAAACAGCACAAATGTAGAATAAATGTTTGACACCAGTGCTGTTGGACTTGAAAAGGGTGGTGGCAGGTCAAGGGGGTGGGCAACTTTACCCAGGTTGTTAACCACATAACTGACCTTCGTTCACTTGGTCATGAGAGATTTTCTTGCTAAAAATGCTTGTTTTTATTAGAAATGTTACCTTATACTCATCCTGCTGTGGTTTCCTGACAGAAATATAGAATACTACCTGTGCTGTGTCAGAAGTTGTGCAGTAGCATGATTTAAWGAGATATAAACTGCAGTGACTACTACAAACCCACTTTCTGGCAGTGTTGGGTTATGAGTGGGGGAGAAGTTCCGGGGTACATTTTCTTGATAGGGTACTAAAAGTAACACAGTAAAGAAGAGGCATGCTGAAGAACCCCAACCAACTGTTTACATCTTGAAATGTTTTTTTTTATTTTATTCAATACTATAAAAACATATAAAATAGTATCTATTATGTGCAACATAGCCTAAAATTCTCTTATTAATAATTTAGACACAATTTACAAAACAACCAGAGTTTTTTGTTTTTTTTTTTCAGATTTTGTTCGGACACAGAAGAGATTCTTCTTCATTCATTTATTTTTAACGTTTGTATTTATCCTATTTCTGTTTATTTTATTATGAATCACTCTGTAATTTACATCTGTGAAAAAGTGCTGACTAACTAAAAATTACTTAATAATTTACTTTTGGAGTCAGCTCAGTTCAAGATGGCAGCCACGACCAGCTGAGCTCACAAACACAGCTGTGATTCAATCACAACAGWAGCAGTAACTCACATATTTTAAGATTTTAACTAAAACTTTACTATTACCTGTTAGAGTCAATCACTTTTGTCTGAGAGTAAAACAACTCTTAAATCACTGGACATGAAACCTTTTATTAACTGACTGTTTGGAGTCAATCCAATTTAAAATGGCCACCACAGCTAATCATCATCATCAGCCACCACAAAAATACTACTGAGTTGAATTTTTATCTGAGAATTTACAACAARTATTTTTGACATCTTGTGATATTACATTAATTTGTGTATATCTCTGTTTTCAAGGTTTGACAGAAACAGGGATTTTTTTCCCCCGACATAAGATTTCAGTCAGACATTTTGTCTTTGTGAGTACACAGAGACATGACCTCTAAGTGTTACATCACACCTCCTGCCTTTTATTTTGAAACTCCAGACAGGAAGCGCAGTGYCCTGGAGTTTGGAACTTGATGGTGGTACCTGTCAGACCAGCACAGCTCCCTCAGCGTTCAGCTGAAATGCCGGTGCTGTGAGGCTCCCGGTGCTCCGCTCTTCTCTCAGACTGTCAGTCTGGTCTCAGACAGTCTGGTTCCAGCTTGGGACCAGCGGAGTCCGATCCGTGACCTTGTGTTAGAGGACTGCACGGTGTTTCTCCTGCACCATGGATTTATTTCTCACTGCAGTGCCCAGCACTGCACTGACAGACCGGCTGAATGAGGTGGAAGTTGGACAGGGGTACAAGACGCAGGACCGAGACTGACAGGAGGAACAGAAGCCTGATATAATGGCCAGGGTGACCTACATACCACAGGGCTTAATGGACATGTCTCCGGGACGTCTATGCCGTTTAGACACATCAGACTGATGCACTGCTCAGCCCTGTCAAACAGTGAGGAGGGACCTTCACCTCATGCTGCACAACTATGCATAACAAGACACACGAATGTACAAATAATTCAACCAGGAGCAGAAGTTCCACTTAAAAGAATACGAGCTGCACGCTGACCTTGGGTAATTATCTCAGAGAAAACCAAAAGAAAATAAATTAACTAAGCAATAGGACTGAGTGTTATGAGAACTGCTCTAATATTTTTCTCTCTTGGTGTATTGCAGGACTAAACACATATGCTGCTTTCTGGATGAGCTAATGGTCCTGAGGCCTGCGCTGAAAGCTGGAATCAATCAGGAGCTGGGCTGAGTGGTTCATTGGATTCTGGACACCCTTATTCACTCATAAATAACAAACTGTATGGCAGCGATCACCATGCTGTGATCGGCCACTTACTACAACCCCAGATCCATGTTTTTAGGAGGCACCAGTCATCTGTCATCATCATGCTTCTGAACTGTGGTCAGCCGTCGGCTCTTCTGAGTCACACAGATGTGCCGCCTCGAGTCACAGAGAACTTCATCCTGAGCGGCTACCGCTTCCCGAACTACAGCCTAAGGGACTGCTTATGGTCGGCATTCAGGCCCACGAATGAAACGGGCAACTTCTGGACGCACTTCCTCCCCCTTTTCATTTTTGCTTATTATTTCGTGGAGGTGTTTGGTTGGGATGGAGCACCTGATGCGGACTCCCCGTTCTTTTATCCACTGTGGACCTACTTCATCGGGGTGTTCTGTCTGCTGATGGCTAGCAGCATGGCCCACCTGCTGAACTCAATGTCTCTGGTAGTAAGAGAGGTTTGCTTCTTTGTAGATTACGGCACAATCAGTGCCTACACAGTTGGTTCATCACTGGCGTACTACTACTACATCCATCCTCAGGCAGGGATTGTGGACAAAGAAAACAACAGTGTCTCCCAGTTAGGCTTGAACCCTGAGCATGAGAGCRTTCGTATATCTGACCGGTTCTTTCAGACCTTTTACATCCCGTGTGCGTGTGTTATAGCTATCATTTGTGTCTTATCGTGCTGCAATACTCGCCAGAGGTGGAGGGAGCATCGCTACATCATACGAACCCTGGTTTTTCTCCTCCCATTCCTCATCTCTTCCACTCCAGTTTTCTACCGCCTCATTACCAGGTCTCCGTACTCCAACACATCATCCTCCTTTGCTGTTTCCACCACAATGCCAAGCTTTTTCTTTCGCCACTCTGTCTGGTTGCTGGTGTCTGCCCTATTCAACATCAGTAAAATCCCTGAGCGGCTAGCCCCAGGTCGCTTTGACATCTGGGGCCACAGCCACCAGTGGTTCCATTGCTGCACGTTTTTATCCATCCTTGACGAACTCCACATGATCCAAGCTGAGGTGAGGGCTATCCTTCTTAATCCTGACTTGCTCTTGCCCCCCACCCCCTTCTCCCGCCTCCCTGGACCTACCGTTACTTCCACCTACGGAGTGATGCTCCTCCTGCAGACAACCATCATCTCCATCATCATGTGGTTCTCCTGGCAAGCTAACTGTATCTATGGGCCCCAGAGAGACCAGACTGAGAAGGAGCACCCAATTGAACACATAAAAAAACAATAATCAGAGAATTTCTTTCCTCAATCATCATGACTGTGAAGAACAATTTGCCACAATAGGAAGGAAGCGCACATGAACATTTTTACCGCTTGGATTCCACATCTGATATGTTTTAACCACATTTATTGAGTGTCCATACAAAGATACAGTATTTGTGACAGGAGGAGATGAAAATCTATTTTGGAGTCACGACCTGGGGACTGTCTGGTTGAGTGGATGCTGAGAGTCCTTGCCAGGTTTTTGTTTTCCCCAGAGTTGCTCCAACATGTTCCAACAGGATGTCTGACTCAGGGGGATAATAACTACCTCTCCTGGATCTACATTTTACAACAGAGAATAGGCTGGGTACCCACAGGAATAACCTTATACAACCATTATAACCTTTCTGTGATGGGATTTAAAAATCCCCGAGCCCGTCAGTGGACCTCTCTCCTAAATGCTCCCTGGTTATACTTATTCACTCTGACGTTTTTCTTTTTAAACATCTGTCGCTCTGACCCATTGTTTTAAGCTGCATTAATCCCTCATAACGACCTATGTTAACATACTTTGTCTTGCTCTGACATCTGTAACAGTCCCAGGCAGTCTAATTTCCTCTTTCTCGAGCCCTGCAGCAGAAACTGGGGCTGGCCTTATAAACAACAGCAAAGGCAGCTGAAAAGTCATACAAGTCTTATAGATGAGCACTTTCAGAGGGCCAGTCAGACTAGCCCTGTCATTAAAAGCCATGCTAACTTTCAAATCTAAAAGATGTTTTATATTTGTAATCCTGTTGTGATGTCCTTCTGAAAGGTTTTGGGCTTATTTAGATGTGAGACATCATCATGGTGCTTTGAATGCATCTGCTGCTAGTGTGGTTTTCTACACTCAGGAGTTGTACCACACAGATAATGTTCACACTGCTTAAAGCAGCTGTGGTTGAAAATGTGATGTCAGCTTGATCAGCAGAAAAGGCCAACTGTGGCTTTCTGCTGTACAGAGAAATGGCATGTTTTATCTTTTTTATTTTTGCTAAAAGCAGATCTATCATTGAAAAAAACTAAAGTCTGAGCAGGAGTGTCAGTATGACAGCCTGCAATGTGCACAAAGGTAAAACTAGGACAATGAAATGACTATTCTCTACTGTTGTGTCATGTGATTTACACCAACTTCCCTAAACAAAATGGAAAATGGAAAAAAGTTAAAATGTCCATATTTTCGTCAGGCCCCATTCATATTGGATGATAACCTCACTAAAAAACAGCCAGACGTGGATGCTGTTCAGGGTTTGGAGGATTTTTTAAGACAGAGAGCTCCCCCACATTTGCAATAGTTTTAAGTTCATATACATATAAAATTGTACAGACTGTAAAGTACACGGATTTCCCCCCATTTGCAGGAATACAGATGCATGGCGCTTATTTTCCAATTTTGCCACAATCTAACAGGTTGTGTTGGCTGCAGTGGGGTCATCATCCAGTATGAAGCTGTCTGAACAGTAACCTGACTCTGATGCTAACTGATGGGCTACATAATTTAATCATTGTCTCTGTATTAAAGACATACAGAGCCTGGCCAAAAAAAGTTGCCACCAAAAAATTTCGTTGGACTGCCTTTAGCTTTGATTATGGCAGACATTCACTGTGGCATTGTTTGGATAACCTTCCAAGACCTGAACAATTGCAGCAGCCTCAGATCATAGCACTGCCCCCACAGGCTGTACAGTAGCACTATGATGGGTGCTTCCTCCAAGACGAAGGGTTCCCACTATCCTTCCAGTTTTTAATAATGTGTTCGACTGTTCTTAACCCAATTTTAGTAGTTTCTGCAATCTCTTTAGATGTTTTCTCTGCTTGATGCCAATGATTTGATCCTTCTCAAACAGACTGACATCTTTTCCAAGACCACAGGATGGGTCTTTCCACAAGGTTGTTTAAGAAATGAGAAGCAACTCATAGCACCAGTTGGTGCAACTCATTGCAAAAAGGTATTTAAATACCTTGTTGCAGCTGAAAGATAATTGCCCATGCTGTAATTATCAAACAGGAGGCCCATACCTATTTGCTTAGTTAAATCCAGGTGGCCACTTTTTTTTGGCCAGGCAGGTCACGGTGTGCTCAACCAAATGGAATATTCCACTTTGTCTTGTCTATATAGGGAAATGAAGACAATTGTTTTATTACCTGTTCAACTATATCAGAGGTAATAGTGACATGTTGGTTGCTGATCTTCAGATTCATATTGTTTCAGAAGAATGGATGTTTACCTCCATGACTTGAACATAACAGTGATAATATCTGATGTTGTGGTATTATCCAGTGATATTCTGAGTTTAAAAGCTTATTATAAACTGTACGGCACAAGACTTGGTCTCATTACTGCTACTGTCAGATCACATCTGACAATCGTTTTGTTTTAACACTGTCAGGTCTTGTTTTGTTGGATAAAGACCACATTTGGTTGTGGTCATTATAAATTAGTTTAAATTTATGTTTTGTCACTCAGGTAGAATAAAGGTGCAATTAAAGGAGCTGGAAAAGAGTGACTCAATAATGTTAGCTTTGCTAGCTAGCAGTGAGCTGTAGAGGTGCGAAGGTACATTTAGTTTTTAAAAAAACATTCAGTAGCCCTAAATGTTACAATGAGATAAAACAGCTGTTATAAAAGAATTAAAATAAGATAATGACTGATGAAGCTCCTTAGAAATGGCTTATTTCCAATGTTTGTTCAGTTAAACCAACAAAAGTTATGGTCACATTACTCTGAAACATTTCTTTTTTTGGGTCAAAAGCTGAAAAGCTCTGGAACCTAAACTCTGCAGAACAAAGAAAAATTATCTGAATCCTGAGCTCCAAATATTGGATTAAAAATGGATTAAAATACAAAAACATTTGATTGTTGTTGAAGAAAGCATGTAAAATCTTACATCTGAACAAAACACTGTTTTTTTTAACACAATGTCCATCTAAACATTCATTTTTTCACCCTTTTAAAGGGAAACTTTAATTTTAGAATTCTTGCTTTGTCTAATACTAATACCTTATCAGTTGTGACATCAGTGTCAGAGAAAGTACTGTAAGAAAAAAAGGACAAAAGTCTTCTGGACTAGGCCAAAGACTAGCCAAAMCTGGGCCTGTTCATTATTTAAAACAGGGCCATGGTTTGGCTAGCCTTTAACCTAATCTGAACTAAGACTTCTGCTTTCTCTGTGCTACAAGTCAAAGCTGATAAAAAACTAACTACTGGACTTTATTTTAAAATGACCAGAGTATCCCTTTAACCTGTTGATTATGTGATGAACAACAATCAAATTCCCCGTTTTTTCACCACAACTGAGTTTTGAAGAGTTTCTCTCTGAAAATGAACGTAACTGTTGAAGTGGATGAAGATGAAATATTTTTTGTTGTATTTTTTTTGTAGATCACATTAGCAATATGTTAGCGTGTAGTTGATGTCTAACTTTAGAACTTCTGAACTGAAATCTGCACATGTGATGACTTGCACACAAGTAAATGATTGGATGGTAATTTCTGATTGGTGACTTCTAACAGAAGGATGTATTGAATGGTTTGTGATAAATGTTATTATGGTGCACTTTAAAGCTTCTGCAAAGCTCCTAGAATAAGTTTTCTTATTTTAATGCCACGTTTGCACATGTGTTCATATATAATCCATCTGCTGGTCCAATTGTTTTAATGAAAAGCCATAAAGTTCCCACAAATGAGTGACGCCTCAGCCTCTTTTTTTTTTACCTGCTTCAGACACTGTTGTAGAACTGAAAGACGATTCATGCAGACAACAAACTGCTGTTAACTTTTCTATTTTCTTGTGAAAACTAAGCTGGTTTCACCCCTTTATCTCAASAAAACTATTATTTCAACTGTCCTGATTTGTGATGAAATGCCCCTTATGTTTAACTATGTCTTATGTTTAAAGACAATTTCTAGTATAATTTTATATTGAAACAAATAAAGATGTTAACTAGTAGTTCCCTTAAGAAAAAATTAAGAAAAAAAAAAGCATATTCGTTTCAACATAACAGGTAAAGTTGTTATCTTTAGAAATTATCTGGTCATGTTTAAGGTGAAGTTTTATCAGCCATGACAAGTCACAGAACAAGGAGCGAAAGGGCAGAAACCCTCATTTAAGTCAAGCTAACATCAACCTGAGCTTGTTTCATAGTTATTCAAGGTTATAAAACAACCTTTTCACTAAAACAGCATAAAAAGTTAATATTAACATTCACATTTTTATATATAGTAGCACCATCGTTTGAAAGAGAAAACAGTGACAAATTAAATCAACATGTAAAAGAGCAAATTCACTTATCAAATATATAAAATGGACCCTTGTTTTGCTAAGCGTTAGCCTAGCCTGGAGGATTCTCCATATTCAGTGTTTTATGACAAACATCAAAGCTGACATGGTACCATCTACTGATCAAAACCTGACCAGACTGTCCTTTTAACACATTTATTGATTTGATTTGATTTATTGATTTAACAGGAAAAGTTTACTAAAAATCAAGCCTGACTCAGCATAATTGCTGTTTTACAGCAGGTTTCTGTTCTGCAGCACATAAAACACTCAGAAATACAGCATCACAATCACATCATTATACACCATAGACACAAAGRCAAGCAAGCATACCAAATTTCAGGAAGGCAGCATTTGCAAAATAGGACATCTAATTATGAGCACAACAAAAAGTGTCCAGCAGATGGCAGACAAGATTCTTCTTAAAGGGCTGTAGTTTTGAAATGGACTTTATGTTTTGGGGAATGTCATTCCATGCTTTAGTATAAACATAGAAGAAAGACCTCTGGCCATAGCAGTTTTTAAAAGTTGGTAATGTCAGTTGTCCTTTTGTAACAGACTTAGTTGAATAACCACTTCCAGAATTTGATTTGGGCAACAATGCACAGAGAGTTCCATAATTGGCACCTTGGAAGATCTGAAAATATAAATTAATACCACTATACAAAACATAATTCTGAAAAGTCAAGGCATCAGACAATGAAAGAACTGTACAGTGATGAGTCCAACCAGGAAGTTTTTTATGAATTTTGTAGGCCCTGTTGTAGAGCCTAACTATGGGTTCYAAGATTTCATTTGTTGTAAGAGACCAAACAGGTWAACAGTACGTCATGGTTGAGAGTATAATGGCATGAAGATAGATATTTGAAACAGAAGATGTCAGATTGTATCTAATTTTTGAATAAACGTATAATTTCTGTTGCAACTTACAGTAGTGGTTAAGACTTATACATGATCACGATAAGTCAAATGAGAATCCAAGGTAATTCCAAGATATTTGTTGGTAGTGACAATATCAAGGGGTTTGTTTAAAAAAGYGAGTTGATTTGTTATATTGAAATGTCTCCTGGGTGAGGAAAAATACATGCACACAGTTTTTTTTAACATTAATTGACAAAAGATTATCTTGAAGCCAACCATGAAATGTCTGAAGATCTGCTTGTAACTGACTATTAATAGATCCAATATTGAAATCAGATAAAAAAAAGAACAGTATCATCAGCATACATTAAAATATTTGAATACTTCAATATTTTTGGAAGATCATTTATGTATAATAGGAAAAGCAATGGGCCCAGTATGCTACCCTGCGGAACTCCCACGGAACAGGGCAGAGACCCGGACACAGAGCTTACATGTTTCACAACCTGACACCTATTAAAACTAATCATGACAACAACAGATTATACTCTCTCTTCTTGTCTTATTAGACTTGTTTTGTTGGTTAGATTAGAAAAATGTGGTATGTATCAAAGGTTGAAATTAGGAATGCACCGATATGAAAATTTCAGCCGATATTGATATCCGATATTATTATTGCTGTTATGGCCGATAACAGATATATACATATGATTTATGATTTTATTCCAGACATGTAAAATTCATTACATAAAGCATAGTCTGAAACTATATTTCTCAATATACCCTTTCACATATCTACAAAAAATGAAACCACTTAAGACTAATTATACACAAATAAATAAACCCATAAAATAAATATACACCTGATGTGCACACACATATCTGTGTACACCTACCCAAATACATACACTCACATAAATCCCATTAACATGTCTGAAAAGGGGTAGGAAGAAGTAAAACTTATTTAATCCTACCCCTATTCACCATTTCATCTGGTTTTCAGAGTCTTATCAGTATGTATTTTATATATATATAT